AAAATGGGGCGTTTATTGCATTAAAATTGGTGGCAGCATGTCAACAAGGACATTCTCCTTCAAGATCTGTACTATCATTGTCCCTTGATCCCCCATCTTTTGCTTCACGATGTGCGACTCCATCTATACCTAATTTTGGAAGCTTTTCATTAGCTGATAAGTGGACGATAACCCCAGCGGAACAGGCTAAATACGATTCAGTTTTTGATAGTTTGAATCCAGTTGACGACAAAGTTTCTGGATCAAAGGGAAGTCTCTTTGTTACACAGGACTTATCCATAGGTTCTACTTCTTCTGTTTTAGGTGAGACCAGTGCTCTTGAACTCGGGTTTAGGTGGGACTTCTTTGGCAAAAATATGGGAGCTGTCAGATCTTGACAAAGTAAATTTATAATTTAGGATTTTCTTGAGCATACTTTCTCAAATTGTTTACAGCTGGTGTGATTGGGATTCAGATTTTTTGGTTAGATGTTACTTGCTGAAGCTGCCATTTGATTCATTTCATTTTTTCAACTCCAGAAGAACGATTCTTCCAACTGTAGCATTTTTTAAGGATGGACAACTGAATCGCGTTGAGATGAGTATTGCATTGCATTTGGTTTATCGTGCATTGAAGGGTGATCCTGTCCCTGCAATACTTCCGCCATCATTGCTGCATCGTTCCGCAGTATCACCCATTGTCCCGCCGCCATCAAAACGTGATTTACACTTTTCCTTTGTCACTTATAAGTTCCAAAAAAAGTTAATTTATGGATTTAAAAAAATATATTTCTTGAATATTTTAAAAAAAGGTCAGTTGATTGATTTTAAAAAACAAATTCTTGGTTATTATTCATTTCTGATTTAGATAGGAACGGAGGCCGTTCACGTACGGGGTCTGTTGCTTCGTTAGATGCTGCCTCAACTAGCTTTGTGCCATCTAGTTTCTCCAGTGTACCACTCCAACCACGTTCACAAAGTGTACAGCCCACCGCCTCAAGTACCCCAACGCATACTCTAGTTAGTTCGTAAATCAAGTTGTTTTTGATAAATTCGTATTTAAGTAAAGTTTTTTAGGGCCCTATGACATCACTGAATCCTCTTCTTGCATGGCCAGTACAGTCAGTTCGTTACGAGCGGGAATTCAGAAAAGTTTATTTGCATTACCAGACATTAAATTTTTTTCTGTTTCTTCTCTTGCATTCATTGTTTTCATCTTTCCGTATGCAAACTGTGTTTTAGGCAGATACAAATAATGACGATTTAGTTTCGGGAACTGACATACGCGAAGAGCTTTTAAAGTCAGGCCTGTCGCAGTCTACACTCGCTCGTTTGTGGGCATTGGTTGACATTAAAAAAACAGGAACATTAAATTTGGAGCAGTTTGCTTTGATGTGAGTATTGTGACTTTTAACTATGCTAAAACGCGTTTTTTCGCTTGGGTCACTTTGACTATTACAGCCAGCATCTGTACTTTTTCCAGCATGTATCTTATGGAACAGTGTAAAAAGGGCGCACCAGTTCCAAGTGTTCTTGCACCAAGTCTTGTTCCACCATCTATGCGTTGCGACGAAATCCCAAATATTTCATCTCTTCAAATTATGGTATTTTTTAAAACCTCATTATTATCTTCTTGGTTTCCCAGTACGACAGCTTTTCACTGAAGACAATATCTGCAGTTATTAACTAATTGGGAGATTGTTTTTTTAACCATTTCGATATATTTGAACAGGATTCCGTATCAACTGGAAATGAAGAACTGGACGCGATTCAGCGAGATATTCGCAATTTAATTGACGAAAGGCGTGAAGCTGATCAGGCGGTCGTGCAGCTTGAGGCGGACATGACCATTAAAAATAGTGAAATCAAGAACCTTCAGGCATATTTTTTTGCTCGTTAATTGGTTCTCTATTTAAATTAGTTA